AGTCCCTCGTCGTCCCCTCTACCCCAGCCTCTAATGCATATACACATACTAGCACAGGTCATTCATATGAACAGTAAGATAAACAAAAACCAAAGTTAATTGGAAAGGTAAGAGATGCAAGGGACATATAGAAAGCACAAAGAAATGATTAATAAAAGTTTAAACATATATCAGTAATTATGATTAATGTAAATTTACTGAAGTCACAGTTAAAAAACAAAGAGCATAAAATTAGATTAAAAAATTTAGCCGAAATGAAGGAAGCTGAGATAGCTATATTGATAATAGATAAATAAACTTTAGGACAGAAGGCAGTTTAGACTATGTTCTCTGACCAGAGTCAAAAACAAAAATATAAGAATTTAAACCACAAAATTTTCATTCGTTTGGAAATTTAAAAACACTTCTAAATAACTCATGGGTCAAAGAAGAAATCATACTGATATTAAAATTTTTAGAACTATAAAAATATATCAAATTTGTAGGATGTAATGAAAATATTATTTTGAGAAAAGCCTTAAATATTTAGTAGAAAAGATAAGCAGAAATTAATAAGCTAGTGGTGCAGCTTAAGAAATTAGCTATGTAAAATGAAGAAAATAAATTTATCAATAATACCATCACCTTCTACCACCATTTTTGTATGTCATTCTAATCTTTCTCTGTATTATTTCTTTAAAATATAAATGTGATTATATTTTGTGATATTCTTGTTTCACTTAATAGCATATTATAATCACATTTTCATGTAGTTAAAGAGTTATTATTTTTAATGACTGCATGGTTTTTCCATTGCAGTCATTTTCATAATTTTTCAAATTGTATTTTTATTTATCTTTTCTCCATAACCACCCCTCCAAAAAAAAAGCTTTTATAAATACTGATGAAATAAATGTCCTTGTTCATAAATCTCTATGCAGAAATTCTCAGTATTTTCTTAGGATAATTCTTAGAAATAACATTTTTATATTAAAGAGTTAGCATAATTATAAAACTTTTTATATAATGCTTGGAAATTAAATTTTTAAAATTTGTATTCACTTTTTAGAGACATTATCATTTTGACTGTTGGCTTTACAGTAACCTTTTTTTTACAAAAGTTATAGGAATCATCCATTTTAGCTTTTAGATTGAACCTGTATAAAATAAATTATAACTTAAAAGATGCATTAACTTCATTTTCATTTAAAGCTAGGAATCTGAATTTTATAATTTGAATTTAGAAATACAAATTACGGTGATCATTGATCAGACTGTTGTCATTCACTTGGTGAATATTGTGAAATGAAACATGACTTTTGTCTCTTGCTTTAGCAGGTCCGTATTTCAGTCGCCGCTCTCGGCAGAGAATTCCGCGGGATCTGGCTATGTGTGTTACTCCAAGTGGCCAGTTTTACTGCTCAATGTGTAATGTTGGGGCTGGCGAAGAAATGGAATTCCGGCAGCATTTAGAGAGCAAGCAACATAAAAGCAAGGTGTCTGAACAGCGATACAGGAATGAGATGGAGAATCTGGGCTATGTATAGTGATTGTTGTATTCAGAGAGAGCAGCTTGTCCTGCCTGTTGTTTGCCTTCTGTCAACATGCCCTGCTTTGTGGTCTTTTTGATATGAGTACATTCCTCTGCTTAACTTTAATACGTGTAACCTGCAGTGGTACCATGAGGTGTCAAACCTGAGGAAGGAAAAGAATGTGCTTCTTGGGTCATGATGCTTTTTCAGGTCCATTGTGTTGAGCTACTTAGAGCATGTGACCTGCCTACCCTATGAGAAATAATTTTTATCTTGACCAAGTTCTGGTCAATTAGTAGCTTGACCACTTAGAGCTTTAACTATTTAAAAATTTCATCTTCTTTTGCAATTTTAGTTTTAGGTACTATTAAGTAAATAATTTTATTGAGTTCTTACTTCAGATCATAGTAAAAGCATGTAAACAGAGATTTCAGTTTCCCAAGGCTTCTTTGGAACTACCATCTCGACTCGATGCCTTGTCAGTAGGATATACTATTACAAACTGTACTAAGGTCTCTCCCAGGACATTTTCTCATATATCATGTCCTCCTATTATTGAAATGCAGGTTTTCTTGGATTCATACACTTCCAATGTGTTTGTGGACTTCCAAACAGTGAAACTTCATTTCTAGTTATGGATTTCACACATTTAAATGCCACCTACTTCCTTCCTTTTCCCCGCTCCTCCAGTTGAATTAGTTTGTCTAATAAGCTCATTTTAATGCCCCAGCTATATTGTGAGATTGCAAGGACCCACATTTGAATATTCAATGAATTTAAGATAGATATGATGTTTTTAAAAATATATTTTTCAGCTGGTTTTAGAAAATGTACAGATATGTTTGATTTTTCAATTTAGAGTTACTTCATTGATAATAACTTGTACTTATACGATGGTCTCAATCATAAGTTTAGATCTTTGGATATTTGGTTTGGTGGACTTTTTTAGATAAACCTATCCTTACATTTTATTTACATTTTTCTCTATCTTGCTAGTTTGCCAACTTGTCCTGAAAAATACCACTACCTTATTCTTTCATAGATAGAGAAGAATTAAAAAAAAAGTTAACCAAATTTCAGTATCATCATTTCTAGTAGGAAATACATGAACCTTGAATTTATTCTTCATAATTTAGCTTCCTTGAAGATAATAGAAGTACAATTTAGATTACTTGATATTTGATAATTGCAACAGCGTTATTATTTTTGTATTTTGTTTTAAAAATAAAGCTGTAGTGTATGTCTAGATTAATTAATGGAGTACTCCATGAACTTTCATTAACTGTATTTTATCTACTTGCTATATTTACATGGATAAGACCAGTACTCATCCATACTTCTTTTGAAGGGCCACATTGAAATTTATATAGTGCAGTATCTTTGCACTACAATCAATTCACGTTTGATTACTTATATTACTAATTAAAAAAAAACAATAGTCCTGTTTTTCCTTGAGAATTCTCTAGGCAAAGAGATGGGGAGAGGAAAATTATAATCATTATTTCTTTCCTTTAATACTTCTAAACAATTTTTGAACAAGCTAGATTCATATTTAAAATTCGATTTTGTGATTAACCTCTGGTACAGTATCAAGTTATTCTTCTGTTGAAGTGGTGGTTTTTGAAAAGTAGAACTTTTTAATAAATTTCATTTTGTCCTGGAACCAGAAGAATGAAATAATGTTCTGTTGAGATTCCATCTAGACCGGTGACTCTTAGTGTAATAACCTTTTATGCAGTAGTCTATAAAGTACAATTGATTAGTTCGGGTCAATTTAGAGCTTATTTTATTGGTCAATAGATTATTCATTTTGCTGCTAGTACAGTTTTTGGTAGATTTTAATATTACAGTGCTGGCCACTTGGTTCTATGATTATTTAAAAATCTAATTTTTCCTCTGTATATGTATTTCTATACATATACACATATGCATATATAAAACTATATATATAGTTTTATGTGATACCATAGAGAAGATTTTATTGAATCCTTATTTCAGATCACAGTAGAGAATTGTGGATAAGAATTCACAATTTGTAAAAGTGGCATTCATCCACTTTCAGTTTGTCCTTTGCAAATAAAATAGAAGGAAAGCTTTCCCTCACTCCTCACTTAACAGTTTCGTTATACACATACAAAAAGCAGTGGATTTAAGGCCTTGATGTTTTTCCTGGCCTTGTGTATTCAGGTTTCCAGTCTCCCAGTGCCCTTAATGGATGTTGTGAATGCATAAACGCATTTTCTTTTAAAGAAAAAAGTTAGATTTATAGTGTTGTTTCTTACTTGCTATATTTTTTTGCACTGAAAAAAAGAGCTATGTTTTTTTTATATGACACTTTAGATACCATATTGCCTACAATGACTCAGTTTGCTTCTTAATTTCCAAACTCTAGGAAGCCGATAACTTCCATGATTATTTATAGAGGTTGCATACACATTCCTCCCCCAACCCCCAAATCTCTATGACAGTGGGCTGTGTTTTGGGCTTGTTACCTTGCAATGTTCTTTTGTGTTCCAAAGGTAAAACAGAGGGTGACAGAAGTTGTCAGAAGGGAAATGCCTGAATAAATACATCTCTGCATGGTACAATTTCTCACACTTTTGCATTCCTTATAGACAGTTTTTTTCCCTGTCAAAGAAGTTGGTTGTTACTACTGCAGTCAGTAAAATAGATCTCCGTTGATTTCATTTTGTGAAGTCCAGTTCTGCTCTGTAATGTGCTTTAGAATTTGTACGCTTTGCTCCCGAGGAATCACGTTAGTATTTTTTATATGCTGTATACAAGGATGGACAGAGGCCTAAACTAAATGGAAAACCTTTAGTCAATTAAATTAAGTAGATTTTAGTAACCATCTGCAAGAACTCATTGCATCAAAGTCTTTTCTCTGTGAATATCTTTGTGTAAGTTGTCATTCAAAATCAATGTTGGAAGATGACAATTAGAAACTCTTCTAAGATATTGAGGGCAAGGAGTTGTAAAGGAAAAATTCCATGTTCCAATTAAAATACTGGATTGCATATGCCTTTGAAGTGTTTTTTTCCAAAAAGCTAAGCTATAAAACTGAGTGCCATGTAATCCTTTTGACTCCACACTGAACAGAAAACATTTTGTGGTCTCGTCTTTGTATATCATGTTCTACAACTTGTAAATATGTGCATGTTGTTTATTACATTTGTCTGCCTGTCTCTTATTGCACTGAATTCTATAAGTGAATAATTTTTTTATATCATCCATTTTGGAAAAGTTCCTCCTCCAACTCTTCCTCGCTATTTCCCCTTCTAATGAGTTGGTACACTTAGAAAATCATTTAAGATTTTTGAAACCCTGAGATTGAATGAAGAATCATGGTTATCTGAGGTCATTCTTGTGTCCCCCTGACTCAAATAGAAGGAAGCAGAAGCTCTTCCACTTTATTTTACAAAACTGTCCTACAGCACTGGTATAGTTGCTATTGCTACCTAGCTGCACTTTGTACAAGGATAAAAAGATATATGTTGTTAAATCTTCCTCTGTAGATAGATTTTAAGGATTAGCTGTGGGATTATGATTCCTTCACTCCTGAATTGGCTGGGACTATGAGCAACAGCAGTTTGAGAACTGTCCAGTGACCTATGTAAAATGAGTTTGCTTGTGTCGGGGGAGACGTGTAACTGTTCGACATAGTATCTTCTATAGAGAGGCCTAAAAATGCTAGATTTGGAACCTACTCTATATTTTGTTTCCTAAATGTCAGAATTTAGGCTGGAAGTACTCTGTAAAGAAGTTGGTGAGGCATATGCCAAGGACAATAGTGCTGCTTTAGAAATAGAGAAATGTTTTGTCAGTATAGACAAAAGTTTAATGCAAGCTGTTGAAGAGATGTTTAAAAAATACTCTACCAACTTTTTTTTCCTTTACCAGCCAAATCACTGTTCAGGAGTTTCATACATAATGAGTGTTTTCTTGCTGCCTTTTTTTTTTTTTGGCAATGGATCCCTCGCATTGTGAGTTATTACTATCAATCTAACTGAATGGACAAATAGCTGTGTAAATAACTTCTCATATGACATTTCTACTGATAGCTGTTTGACTTTTTCTTCCCATTATGAATGGGAGGCTCATTTGTAAACTCCCCTTTCTGGGTAGCTACCAAAAAAATACAGGCTTATGGTCCCGTGTGACCCTGTCTCCGTTAAGCCCAGGATATGAGTGCCTTTAGCAAGTTTTAGCATTTCACAGAATAGATGATAGAATTATTGCTGTTAATCAAATTCATTAAGCAAGAGCTTGGAATAGCAAAGGTTTATGTGAATTCTGTGTTCCACATATATTTTTTTTTTCTTAATTCAATCTCTGTTTGTTATTGAGTAAAACTATCACCATCATCGATCGGGAAGATACACCCCGAAAATGAATCCAGTTGTCCCAGACTGGTAACAGTCATTATTTTTCATCTTTATCTGTATTATATTTGTATTTAGTGAGTGGTAGTGTGGTGGATTGGGAGGAGCTTGACACTGATATTTGGAAAAACTTCATCCCACTGGTCTTTTTCAGACTTTTCTGTAGAGAGGAGAGTATTATATAGTTGCAAATGAAGTGTGAGAAGAAATTGTCATGCACCGTAATAATTGTGTTACTTCGTCTACATTTAAAAAAAAAGCGTCTTCATAAATCGGGTTTGAGGCCTTTTGAAGCAAAATTTTCCCTATTTCAAATGATTTTTAAAATTCTAAATTACTAAGTACTTTAGGTCTTTAAAACACACTAAGTTAATTTTATTGTAGAAATATTAATATTTTAACATTTTATTATGAAAATTTTCAAACATATCAGAGTTGAAAAGTTTTGCAATATACCTACCACTAGATTCTACAATCAATATTTTACTATATTTGTATTACCACACATCAGTTCATCCCTCTATTAATCCATCAATCCATAGAGTTTTAAAAAAAAATACTCATTTCAGTGTAGATTTCAGACACTATATTTCTCTTAAATACTTCGGTATAGGTGTCATTAACTAGAGTTTAATATTTGTTTAAATATCTTTTAAACAAATTTCTTGAACTCATGAAGTTGGTAATCTGAGCCAATTAATGTATATATTTTTTCTCCTGTGGGCTTTAGCCTTCTATTTTTTTTTTTTTTTCCTTTTAGTGCTCAGAGTGAAGGATGACAACTTTTCAAACTAAAGTTTTCTGGTGTTGGTCATTTTAAATGCTTAGCTGTCATACATTTTAAAGTTTCATGATAAGATTTTTTTTCCCTTTGTCTCTTGTTATGATGTATTTTTGCTGAACTATGCAGCTTCTTTAAAAAACTGTAAATTACTGATTGGGGTTTATTAAATCAGCTTATACCTCATTTCAATCTACTGCTGCTTTTTTCCATGTTATCACAATTCCTTTTACTACTCTCACTTGTTCTGCCAGAAAGTCTAGAGGAGCCAAATCCATAGATGATTAGCTGTTTTAAACAACTCTAGAAGAGCAGATTAAGTAGTTTAGGAAGTGAAAACCATTAATTTACCTAAAGCCTTTGAATTCCCTGAGAATGGTAATTGCCCATGCTTCCTCTAGCCATAATTAGCAGGATTGAAAATGATTGTACTGTACAATGAGTTGTCAAAATTGTGAGCCTTAGTGACCATCTTTAGCTTTATTCTAGTACTGTTTAGAAAAAGTTTTTTGACATATGCCTTTATTATGCCAATTTTTTGTGGACAAAGAATTTAAATGACTTTCTCCAGGGCATGAAAGTGCAACGAAGATGTCAGAATCAAAACTTCAGTGTTCTTGATTCATATTCTTGTGTTAGTTTCTTAAGATTCGTGGCCTCTAAAATAACTGAACACTTCCTTCGGGGCCCTTAAAATGAATATGTGTATTTTTACTAATTAGGCGCTCATTTCCAGGCATTTCATGTTTTTTTTTTTTTTTTTTAAACGTAAAGATTTTTTCATGGTTATAGTTCCTCATTAAGCCGATGCAATTGCTAAAAATCTCACTTCACTGTTGAATACTAACTAATAATGCAGGTTTTACCAGATTTGTTTTTGCATTTCAATGACCTTTATGATTCATTCATTACTCTTTCTTTGTAAGTGACCCCCTCACTAATGAAAATAAACGTTCTATATCACCAATTTTATGTTTATTCTCTACATGATATATTTTTTTAAGGAAAAGTAACCCCGTGTGTCAGGATGAATGATATTATCCTAGGCCAAAGCATATATAAAGTTTATTTCTACTCTGCAAATCTGGCATTTATGGGAACAAAACTCTGTAGGGTGGCTGGTTATTGTTTGCCTTCTTTTGGTACTTGAGCACCTTTTTGTGGTTTTGTAAATCCATGTCATTCTGTAAGAATATGTTGATTCTGTGTTAATTGGTGTTCACTTTGTGGTATCTTCAGCTGTCTATAATAATTATTTAGTTTGGGTGTGGTGTGTTTGCATTGAAATGCCTTAGGAAAGTATGTCAGAATCTGCTCTAAAGCGTTCCATGTATCCTCTGGGACAATAAGGTGCCTCTCTTGGTAGTACTCTCTAGATCCAGAAGCAAAACTGATTTTGCTTTCACTGTTATGGTTGCATTTTAGCGCAGTTATTGTTTTAAATTAGAGAATACAATCCTGGGAAACCAAGGGAGTCTTTAGAACCCTTCATTTAATGGCATGGCAAACTTTTAAGACAGGTTTTGCTATTTTACTAGAACAGTGTCTCTGGTAAAAGGATATGGTTAAAAAATGCCAGCCAAAATTGTATGAAATTGGGATTGTTTCCTAAAACTTTTTCTAAATGTCCTACAGGGGTTTAACATCTGTGTATGCGATTGGGGCTAAATTCCAGTCAATGCTTTGGAAATCTGTTTCTGTTCTGGGACTATAGAAATGACAAAAGTGTCATGGGATTAAAACCAATCAACTGTGAATTGTGAAATTGAAATTGCTCTTTTGGTTTTATTTTCTGCATATTGAATATAGAAATTCAAAAGTTATTTAAAATTTACACTGCTTATGTTAATGGCTCATCTTGGCTGTGTATACTCAATTATGTACTGATTTCTGATAAAGGCTTGACATTATTATAACAGGCATTTTGTGTTCAATTTAATAAAATGATTTCCGAGTCTTGTCTGCAAATTGTTTGGTTATGAGTTGGAGATCAAGGAGAAAAGCTACATCATCGACATGGAGGTGTTATTTTTAATGCCAATGCTCGATGGCTGTGGGTTCATTCATCGGTCTGCACATAATCTGCCAAGGACTTCTGAAGTCATGCAGAGTATTGTCAGCTCCTGGGCTTGCAGTAGAATTGACTTAGCTGCCCATATTACCTTACCCCCTCCCTACAATGGAGTTAGCCTGGAACTGCAGTTCTCAATTTTGTTGCTATATTTTAAATTTATCTTCTGATCTAATGCTGAGAAAGGTTAAGCTTAGCAGGACCACAATCATTGCTTCTAGAAATTAACACATATTAACAGGCATATACCCATTAATCGTTTGGGTATTTCACATATAAAATACTAATAATTAGCTTATATATACAATATATTATTGGGGATTGGTCATTTAAGTACTGTAGCTTACTGTATGCAATGTGCTTTTGAATCTAAATGCTCATTTTAAAAAATAGATGATAGACCTAGAAGGTACTGTTATGATTTGTTTAATTGGGATGCAAGACACATACACTTAACTGTCGTGGGAAAAATTCTTGTGCCTGCACAAAAAATAATGTTTCTGAATGAGGCAAATAGGTCACACTGACTCTGTGTTTTAAAATACTCAAGGCGTCAGCACATTTTATTAAATCATCTCCAAGAGGTTTTTAGCTTAATAGCCATGTAAATGAGCAACAACAACAACAAAAGTCTTAAACCACTATAGTTCTTCAGCTTTTTTTTTGAGCATTTTTGAGGCTTATTTACTAAAAAAAATCTATTCAAGACCAAGCACTGGTGTTATCCTTTAAAACTGCCTGTCTGTAAAAGACTAGCAATGAACTTTCCCAACCTATTATAATTGATACAAGATTGCAAAGAGATCAGAAATAAATCTCTTCGTGATGAGTTTTAAGATTTTTATCTATGAGTTGAGATTTAGCCCACCAAGTTGTATGCTTATTTTAGTGGGATATTCATAAACTGTGGGAAATTTGGAACTTAGATGAAGATAGGCAACTATTGTGACATGTAAATATTATTTAATAAGGATATGATTATGATTCCTTACCAAAAAAAATCACCTAAAAATACACTCTATGGCGTGTTTGTGTTCACGTGTGAGAAATATGTAGGGAGGGATATTGAGGTATGTGTATTAGAAGGGAGTATAGGTAAACATGTTTTAAGATGATCAAATGTTTGTAATGAAGTATGTCCAAAGGAGCAGATGTAAATTTGCCAGTGGAAGAAATATGTTCCACCACAGGCAGTCTATAACTTCTGCCTGGTAATTTTGGATGTCTTTTAAGTATGTAATTGGAACTTCAAATGTGTTCTGGCTTGCAACTGATCTAGAAAGGAACAAGATATCTTTAATACTAGCTTCAACTTTTAATCTTTGCTGATGCCAGAGGCTCTTCTCTATCTCTGTCTTCTAGAAATAGCTTATTAGGTTAAAGACTTTGACCAAAGGTATCTAGTGCCACCCTGTGGACTCTCTAAATCTTACAGTTAGCAGTTTGAATGTGATTGGTACACTACCTTTGAATCAGAATCTTTGGCTAAAAACCACCTAGTGGAGGAGAGAAGTTTTTATCCTCAAAGCAAAGGCAGATGTCATGTCTTTAGGAGTTATCAAGGTATCGGCTGCTGAAGTATGCAGAGCGGGAAAAGTGGTGGATTGGAATCAGGATACATAAATGTATATATATACATATATATGCATGTGTGTTTATGATTTTTGTGATGTTTTAAAAATGTCCATTTTGCTTTAAAAATCCATTATTCATACATTTTCGGGTATGTGAACAACAGCAAACGTGGAAACTAAATTAAAATAATGGTCAACGAAAGCCCCAAACTGGAAGGAAAGGACTAGAAAAATCTTTCATCAAAGAGGATTATTGAACATTTAAAAAATTATTTACAGGGGTTAATGTTACCAGACATATGGAAATCATGCTGACAAATATAAAAATTAAACCACAAAATACTAAAGTTTTCCCAAACATAATTTGTTTGGGGGAAGGACATAACGACTCTGCTTTTACAATAAGCTGGTAGTACAGAAGGAGACATATTTTTAAGTCTTGTATTAACTATTGCAAATATGTAGAAAAAGTACATACTGGGATAATTTGTGCCAGTTCTGTCACCTGTGTGCTCTTGGGCATGTCACTTAACCTCTCTGAAATTCGGTTACTCAGAATTGGGGTATTAGGTGTGAATTCCAGTTATTTTTACCCCAGTCAGTAGTATGAATAATTTAGAGAATCGGTCTTTTAAGACAAATCAGTTGAGTTTTTTGAATAATTATGTTCTGAACTCACTCCTGAACTTATGCTCCTGTTTTCCTCCCCAGAGGTGATCACGGTTTCCAGTTTCTTAGGTATTTTCCTAGAGATATTCTATGCAATATAAATGATGACAGTCCACATACATTTTTTTCTCAGTGACCAGTGTACCTCGGCAATCATTCTATACCAGCATTTGCAGACCTATCTCATTCTTTTTGACTATGTGGTATTCCCTTGCATGATTTTCAAAATTTATTGATCCTCTATTGATGGATATGTGTGTGTGTACATACACACACACACACACATATAGATATAATAATTTTTAAAAATTAAAAACAAATATGGTAAATATATAATGGTAAATATATATAACATTAAATTTATCATTTTAACTTTTTAAGTGTACAGTTCAATGGCATTAAGTACATTCATATTGTGGTGCAACTATCACCACTTTCCATCTCTAGAACTTTTTTCATCTTCCCAAACTGAAACTCCATAACTCATTAAACAATGATACTCCATTCCTCCCTCCTCTCTGTCCCTGGCAGCCACCATTCTCCCTGTCTCTGAATTTGATTACTCTAAGTACCTCGTATAAGTGGAATCACACAGTATTTGTCCTTTTGTGACCGTCTTATTTCATTTAGAATAATGTCCTCAAGGTTCATCCATGTTATACATATCAGAATTTCCTTTCTTTTTAGGCTGAATGATATTTCATTGTGTGTATATACTAGGTTTTGTTTATTCATCTGTCAATGGACATTGGGATGGCTTCCACCTTTTGGCTATTGTGAATAATGCTGCTATGGACATGGGTATACAAAAATTAAAAACTGTAAAAATTATAAATTATTTTATAAATGCAAAGTATAGAGGATAACCAAACCGACATACAAGTAATCATCACTGAGCTCCCAGCACTATCAAATTCTAATATTTTGATGTATATTATTGTGATATATTTAGAAGAATAAAACATTACCAATTCAGTTGAAGCCCACTGTGCTCCCCTCCAATCTAATCCTTTGATAGGTAAACCCACAATCTTAAATTTGGTATTTATTATTTCCACATATATTATTATATTAATACTATATGTATCTATAAATAGTAGATAGTATTGTTTATGCTTTTAAGATTACTATAAATGGTATGGTAACATACCAATGTCACCATATTTTTCTTTTTTTCTCAACATTGTTCTTGAGATTTACCTATGATGGTATGCTTAGCCATAATTTATTCATTTTAAAGGCTGTATAGTGTTTCAATGTTTGAATATAGAACAATTAATTCGTCCTTTTGTTGATGGACATTTAGGTGGTTTTTCAATATTTTCTTATTACAAACAATAATATGGAGAACTTTCAAAACATATCTCTATAGAGTCTACAAACTAGATTCTTGCTACATCGCCCTGGAGCTTGTTAGAAATGCAGCATCCCAGGCCCCACTCCAGACTCCAGACCTACTGAATTAGAGCCTATCTTTATGCAAGATCCCCGGTGATTCATACCTGGGTCATGGCCCCAGAGATTTTGATTTAATTGCTCTAGTGTGTGCCTGGGTCTCTAGGGATTTTTAAGAGCGCCTTAAGTGATTCTAATACATAGTCAAAATTTAGAATGATTGCTTGGACCCAAATAACTGTGTCTGCGTTTTGTGTGTCGCTTGTCTTTCACTGGGATGCCTCTCCAGAAAGGGCAAATTTACCCACAAGGGGATAGAGCTCCTTCTAATCCAGTAAATTATCAAAACACTTGAGCAAATCCACTATCCTACTTTAAGTTCAACTAGTTCTTAGTCCACAGAGTTTAATTTACTTAACAAACACTTGTAAGGCACTAACTGTATATCAGGTAGTCTTCTAAAAAGCACTTTTTTAAGATTATCTTAATATTTGTTGGAAAGTTTCCTTTCCACTTGAGAAAGCTTTGAAATTTTGAGTGAAATAGTGCAGTTTATCAGAAAGAATACCTAGTAATAAGAAAGGACGCGCTGCAGGATGGTGAGGTTCCTGCTTTGTGCTCAGCAAGATGGTTCAGCCCCCCACTGTCAGCGTCAGTCAGGGACTCTTCCTAGGGGAAGCTGCCACCCACTCACCCAACAAGGCCTGGGCTGTGAGTGCACAAAGCTACTGCTTCTCAAAGAAAGAGAATTCGGTACTTTGTTCATTTAGCGATGTGGGCTTTTCTGCCCAACTCCACAACGTCATTGTAGTCAAAACTGGGAAAATTCTTGATCTTCAAGTGGCATCCTGGGGCAAATTTTTCATCTACCCAGTCACTGCATTTTTTCAAGTAAGTCGTGGAACAGAGCACTTAAATCACAACTGGATCAGTTATTTCAAAGTATGGTTATGTGACCTGAAGGAATCTTCTTGGAGAGAGGAAATTTTTTTCTGTTACTTAAATTCATATCCAATCACATAAGTAGACGTAATATACATTTTCACTGTCAAATATTCAAACACTTTTGAAAAAGGGAAATACTTCTTAACCTCTCCATTTACTCCTTCTCAGAGATAACTGGTATTATTAACATAATGTGTATCCTTCCAAACCTTTTCCTATTTATTTCTAAAATGTGGTTTTTATGTTTTACTGGAGAAGAATTCCTACACCCTCTACTTTAAATACCTATTGTAAGTGGTTCTTATTTAACCATA